TCTTCACATAACCCTTCTACACTGTTGGTGGGAATGTAAATTGGTACAGCCACTGTGGAGAACACTATGGAGGTTCCTTAAACTAAAAATAAAGCTACCATGTGACCCTGCAATCCCACACCTGGGCATATATCCAGAGAAAAATACCATCTGAAAGGATCCATGCACCCCAATGTTCATTGCAGCACTGTTTACAATAGCCAAGACATGGAAGCAACTTAAATGTCCCTCAACAGAGGAATGGATAAAGATGTGTTACATAAATACAATGGAATATTACTCAGCCATTAAAAAGGATGGAATAATGCCATTTGCAGCAACATACGTGGACCTAGAGAATGTCAAACTGAGTGAAGTAAGAAAGGGAGAGAGAAAGAAATATCATACTGCACCCCTTATGTGGAATCTGAAAAGAAATGATACAAATGAACTTACAATGCAGAGGTTCACAGACTTGGAGAACAAGCTTATGGTTGCCTGGAGGAAGGGATAGTCAGGGAGTTTGGGAAGGTCATTTACACACTGCTGTATTCAAAATGGATAACCAATAAGGACCTACTGTATAGCACAGGAAATTCTGCTCAATGTTATGGGGCAGCCTGGATGGGAAGGGAGTTTGGGGGAGAATGGATACATGTATATGTATGACTGAGTGCCCCCACTGTTTACCTGAAACTATCACAACATGGTTAATTGGCTGTACCCCAATAAAAAATAAAGTTTAAAAACAAAAAGAAACCATCTTCCCATATAAAGAGTACTAATGCATGGTGTTAATTTTTCATGCTAATTGCTTAAGAACTTAATAACCCACATTTAGTGCACCTAAACTTTATATATATATATATTTAAAGCTCATAAAAACTCATTTTCTAACATTGCTTCTGAGGAAAATATTCCTTTTCTAAAAACCGTCAGAATTGATCTTCCAGTTCTGGCAGTGGGCATTTTTTGTAGCAGGTTTAAAGAAGGTGAGGGAGGAAATGTCCCATATTTTAACCCAGGCTAATTCTCTGGCTTATGTGCTCTTAATCCCCTGCCCTCCCAGCTTCTTGGTTGCCTTAGCAGTTATCCCTTCCCTTCTGAATGCAAACCTCAAACACCTAGAATGGGCCTGGCAGCAGGGCTAACCAGCTTGGGTCTATCTAAACTTATAAAAGTTACTCATGTAATTTTGACCCTGTGGGGTTGTATCCTAGATCTATTATCTCTCAAGGATAATTCTTTTAAGTAGAATTGCCTACTCAATACATATGCTCTTTTAAACTATTGATACTGGCAAACTGTCCTAAAACATGTCTTTTCAATAGTGAATGAGAGTATTGTTTTCCCCCACACCTATGACAAAGTTTGTTATTTATATAATTGAGGCTGTCTGTAACAGCAGCAAAGACCTTCCAGCTGGTTGGAAAATGGCCAAAAAGAGCCAGGAAGACACTGGCTTGGGGTGTTACTGTGGTTACAAGGTAGAGCCAGCACACACAGGTGGAACCTCCCAGTAGGGGAGGGAGCACCCAGGGTTTTTTGTTTATCTTTTGGCTCTGCCACATGGCATGTGGGATCTTAGTTCCCCAACCAGGTATCAAACCTGTGCCCCTGCTTTGGCAGTGTGGCGTCTTAACCACTAAGGGCAGTCAGTGCTCAGTCACTCAGTCGAGTTTAACTCTGCGACCCCATGGACTGTAGCCTGCCAGGCTCCTCTGTCCATGGGATTTTCCAGGTAAGAATACTGGAGTGGGTTGCCATTTTCTCCTCCAGGGGATCTTCCCCACCCAGGAGTTGAACCCACATCTCCAGTGTGGGTTCACTGCACACTGCAGGCAGATTCTTTACCGCTGAGCCACTAAACTACTAGAGAATTACCCCCCTTTTAAAAAAATCAGCTGCCCAGATATGGAGCAAAGGGAAAAAAAGGCACAAGGCTTATTAAAAGCTCAAACAGCAAAAAAAAGGGATTCAGCATCCTTATCACAAAAAATGGCTGGTTCTTAGCCAAGCATCTTATTGATTGCTCTTTATGACTTTTTATGATAACTTTCAGCAAGAGGGTTCCAGAAAAGCATCTATTTCTGCTTTATTGACTACGCCAAAGCCTTCGACTCTGTGGATCACAATAAACTGTGGAAAATTCTGAAGGAGATGGGAATACCAGACCACCTGACCTGCCTCTTGAGAAACCTATATGCAGGTCAGGAAGCAAGAGTTAGAACTGGACATGGAACAACAGACTGGTTCCAAATAGGAAAAGGAGTATGTCAAGGCTGTATATTGTCACCCTGCTTATTTAACTTATATGCAGAGTACATCATGAAAAACGCTGGGCTGGAAGAAGCACAAGCTGGAATCAAGATTGCCAGGAGAAATATCAATAACCTCAGATATGCAGATGACACCACCCTTATGGCAGAAAGTGAAGAGGAACTAAAAAGCCTCTTGATGAAAGTGAAAGAGGAGAGTGAAAAAGTTGGCTTAAAGCTTAACATTCAGAAAACTAAGATCATGGCATCCGGTCCCATCACTTCATGGCAAATAGATGGTGAGACAGTGGAAACAGTGTCAGACTTTATTTTTTTGGGCTCCAAAATCACTGCAGATGGTGATTGTAGCCATGAAATTAAAAGACGCTTACTCCGTGGGAGGAAAGTTATGACCAACCTAGATAGCATATTAAAAAGCAGAGACATTACTTTGCCAACAAAGGTCCATCTAGTCAAGGCTATGGTTTTTCCAGTGGTCATGTATGGATGTGAGAGTTGGACTGTGAAGAAAGCTGAGCCCCGAAGAATTGATCCTTTTGAACTATGGTGTTGGAGAAGACTCTTGAGAGTCCCTTGGACTGCAAGGAGATCCAACCAGTCCATCCTGAAGGAGATTAGTCCTGGGTGTTCATTGGAAGAACTGATGCTGAAGCTGAAACTCCAATACTTTGGCCCCCTCATGCGAAGAGTTGACTCATTGGAAAAGACCCTGATGCTGGGAGGGATTGGGGGCAAGAGGAGAAGGGGATGACAGAGGATGAGATGGCTGGATGGCATCACCGACTCGATGGACATGAGTTTGAGTAAACTCTGGGAGTTGGTGATGGACAGGGAGGCCTGGCGTGCTGCGATTCATGGGGTTGCAAAGAGTCAGACACGACTGAGCGACTGAACTGAACTGATGATACCTTTGCTCTCTTTGCCATCTCTTGTGTGACAGCCGATTCTCACAGACTTTCTTAGGTATCCTACTCCCAGCCGTTGACATGCATACACACTGGTACTTGTTTCTCTTCTCCCAGATGGTGGAGACATGGCCCAGGACCTGGAGGAGTTAGCAGTCGGAACTATGCATTGCCCCTCTGATTCCTTGGCCCCTAGGAAGTTTAATGTAATGCTTGAGGTTACAACTAAAGGAGAGAGAGGTCTGGCAGAGGGCTCTGAGGCCCAGAAGCAAACACCTACCCGTCCCGTACCCTCTAGACTCCTCACCCTGGCTAGATATGGGACAAGGATCCAGGCAGCTGTTGAACTTAGCTGCTCCAAGATTTTGGTGCTCTTAAATCTGCCTACCCCTTGGCCGCCTGGAAAAAATAATTTAAAAAAGAAAACTCCATTTGCTGCTGGGTAGGGCTTATTCACAAGGGGCTTATCTTCTTTGGCCTCACTGTTGCCTGTGATTTGAGTAGGCAGGCAGTACAGCTGAAAAAACAGTAAGTTGTGCCCTACCCAAGGTGGCAGGGCCTGTGTGCAATTTCTTACTACCCTAGTGCCCTTTTCCGAGTTTTTCTCAGGGGACAAGATTCCATCAAATGTTATCCTGCTTGTTTTCGAATGGGTCTTAATTCTACATAAGAACACTGCATTCTTTGTTGGCAATGTGACATTTGACACATACAAAACACCCAGGAAATAATGCTTTTCAAGGGACAGTGCTCCCTTGAAAGTTTAAATGTGCTTCTGTGCTCTTAACTTTGATTCCTCCCCCTCACTCCCTTTCCTACCGTTTTTTCTCTGCTCACCTCCTTTTTCTGTATGTGATTGCGGGTGGTGATGGAGGGAGTGTAGCCCTACTGAAAACCGCTACAGAAGACAACAGTTCCTTGTTGGACATAAATTTATTGATGGCAGGGGTTTTTCACATTCTAGAGACGATAAAGAGGCCGAATACACAAAGTTGGAGCTCAAACACGATGGCTTCTCTGGCGGCTCAGTGGTAAAGAATCCGCCTGCCAGTGCAGGAGACAAAGGTTGGATCTCTGATCTGGGAAGATCTCACATGCCATGGAAGAACTAAGCTTGTGTGCCACAACTATTGAGCCTGTGCTCTGGAGCCTGGAGACTGCAAATACTGCACCCAGGAGTGGCAACTACCAAAGCCCTCGTGCCCCTGAGCCCTTGCTTGGCAATGAGAAGCCCATGCACTGCAACAAGGGGTAGCTCCCACTCGTGGCAACTAGAGAAAAACCCCTGCTGCAAAGAAGATCCAGCACAGCCAAAAATAAAGTTATATATATTAATTTAAAAAAAGAATGGATGACAAGCAGGTGGATGCAATGTACTTTAGTTCAGAATTTCTGAGTGAACCTATTATTCTACCCCCTCCATCGAGGAAAGGACAACGCTTGGATCCTCGGAGCTAGCACAGTGACTGGCATAGAGTAGATATTGAATTACATTAGATGAATATGGTGATTTTGAGGATTATTTATTTGATGGATGAAGAATTAATCATAGGGTCGGTAAGTGATGAATCACAATTTGGTTCAGCTCTTAAGTCTTCAAGCCTTAGTGGGGGATTCAATACAGTCCTCACCGTAAATGCAGCAGAGAGCAAGAAAGCCCTAAGGCGAGGTAACAGCGATTGGAACACCAGTGCGGTCTGAGGGGCTGCGCGCGCAACCACGCCAGCTGAGGGTCAGGTGACAGCGTTTCCCTGGCAACAGCTTTGTTGTTAGCAACCAAGCTGTAGTCCCGCGGTGGTCCAGGCAGAAGCTGCCCGGGGGGCGGAAGGCACCTGCCATGAATCCGCCGGGATCCCTGGGGGTCCTGGAGGAGAAGGAGGAGGAACATTTAGCCACCCCCATTCTCGGACCCTCCATTCATTCTGATAATCCTCAGGAGCGGATCCAGGCCCGGCGCCTGCGCATCGCGGCGCGCTTGGAAGCTCGGAGGCGGTGAGCCAGGGTTTGGGCGCGTCCAGCCAAGGAGGGCCCAGGGTGCGGGTGACCCGGGTGCTGGAATGAGGGGGTGGCTTCTCCAGGCCGGAGCCCCTGCAGTGAGGGGCCCGCGTGCCCTACGTGTGAGCTGGTCTTGTTTTTTGATGAGATAGAAAACTTTTCTACCAGAAGGTTCAAACAAAGTATGTGATATTAAAGCGTTGAATACACTTCAGTTCAGTTCAGTTCAGTCGCTCAGTCGTGTCCGATTCTGCGACCCCATGAATCGCAGCACGCAAGGCCTCCCTGTCCATCACAAACTCCCGGAGTTTACTCAAACTCATGTCAATCGAGTAGGTGATGCCATCCAGCCATCTCATCCTAGTAAAGTCAAAGATGCAAGTAGGAATCCCTCCAGCACGTTCACGGAGAGCCTGCTGTGCCAGGCACTGTGGGCCGTACCTGAAGATGTTGGGGCTTCATGACCTGTCCTCTGAGGTCGTTCTTTCCTCCTTGCCTCCCAGCCTGCCTTCCTTCCACAATGGGTTACAGAGCGGACCTCAGCTATCACTTCTGTTGGTCTCAGTGGCTTATCTGGTTGTGTGACACAAAACCCTTTTCCTGCAGGGTCTGAGGCTGATAACCATACCATTCTCAGGCTGGGGTTGCCACCCCCGTCCACTCACAGACTTTGTGGCCTGTCTTAAGGAGGGGGACCGAGGGGAACTTGCGTGAACCCGTGACTGCCTGAACACCCGCACTGTGGGTCCTGTGACTCGTCCTGCTAGTCAGGGTCAGCTGCCTTGCTGAGATGGTGCTTCTCTTGTTGTCTCCCGGCCTTTGGACACAAGGGCCCCAAAGTGATGTGGCTGTGTTCCAACAAAAACTTTACCTAAGGACACTGAAATTTGCATTTCATATAATGTTCATGTATCACAGAATATTCTTCATCTTTGGATCTTTTTTTCTAAATTAATACACTTCATATTTTAGAGCAGTTTTAGGTTCACAGAAGAATTGAGTGGAAACTACAGAGGTTTCCCATTTACCCCCTACTTCTATACATGTATGAATCTTCCCTGGTGGCTCAGATGGTAAAGAATCTGCAATGTGAGAGGTCCAGGTTGCCATTTCCTTCTCCAGGGGATCTTTACAACCCAGGGATTGAATCCATGTCTCCTGCGTCTCCTGCATTGGCAGGCAGGTTCTTTGCCACTGAGCCACCTGAGAAGTCCTTGAGATTCCTAAGGGTGATGCTAATCCCTACCATAGCCCTGGTCTACAGTATTGTTTGTTATGCACTTGGGTGCAGTTTTGGAGTGTCCATTTGACCTTCCATATGGCTGTAGCTCTTACCCACAGGCCAACAACCTAGTGTGAAAATTTCTCAACTTTCTAAGCATGTTAAGATCACCCTTGTTGCTCTTTAGGGAATGGTTTGGAGGAACAAAGATCCCACATGCCCCTTGGGGGGCGGGGGCTAGGGGTAAAAAAACTCTGCCCTTCCAATGCAGGGGAGGCAGGTTCCATGGGGAGCGAGCTTAGATCCCACAAGCACCCCCTGCATTGGAAACTCAGAGTCTTGACCACTTGACCACCAAGTAAATCCCAGATTGTGTTCTTTTTAGTATTCAAATTTTTATCCCTATGGAATATATTTTTGTATGTGGTGAAATATACTATGAAAATTAAAAATTTAAATTTAAATCCCTCAGGCCATGCACAGCTCAGCAGAAAGATTTTAAAAAACAAAACAAACACAAAAATCAAAGTTAGGAAAAAAAGAGTGAAAGATTTTACTTCCTAGAATTTAAACTTCATTTTCTCTGCGTTTTTCCCATCCCAGGGAAGCTCTTGGAGAATATTTAGATGGGAAGAAGGAGAGTGAGGAAGATCAAAGCAAGAGCTACAAACAGAAAGAAGAAAGCAGACTGGTAGGAAATGGGGTATAAATGAGTCCCACCAGTCCCGTAGGACCCAGACTGAGGCTTCACTCTTTCTGTGCTGGGCCTTTGATGAGGCAGTGCCAAGCCCCGCTCCTCCGCTCTTCTTCCCTCCTGTCCTCTCCCCTCCCTCTTCCCCTCTCCTCAATCTCGGTTCCCAGACTTTAAGACTGTCTCACCCAACTTCTCCACGATGTCTTCCATGAAGCAGGTTGAACTCTTTGAAGTCACACATGTAACTGTTCTCGTCTGTACCATTCATTTATTTCACTATAGACAATTTTCTGCCTTGTTTGACTTTCTGAATGTGTGTGCGTGTGGTGTCCCAGTGGAAATGTTAGGTTCTAGATGAGCGAAGGCCTCTTTGTGGCTGTGGAGTAGGCTCAAGTTTGTACCCAGTGAACACTAAAAGAAAGTCTTTGATCGCTCTCCCATGGCGATGACAGGGCTCCTGAAACAGGTAATAAAGGACTTGAAGCAAGAGGTGCAGGAGGGATAAACAGTAGTTCAAAGCAGGGAGCGCCAACTGGCACAGTGCCACATTTAATTAATTAATTGCATGGAAAAGAGCTCACCCAACCGGCCTGATCAGGGAAGGTCTAAGGAGAAAGTAGGATTGGAACTGGGTCTTAGAAAGATAGATGGGATTTCTAAAAGTGGGGAGGAGAAGAGATCATTTCTGGAACTGAAATGCAGTTACTGGGAGAAAGTATCCAAATTACTGAAATATTATTATGGAGCCTCATTTCAGTTCAGTTGCTTAGTCATGTCTGATTATAGAGCCTAGAGATATCTAGAAACAACTGAATTACCTGGACTGTCCTGGGTCAAGGATAAGATGTTTTGTTAAGAATATTGAACTGTTATGGGTTTTTGTTCCAGATCTGTTGATAACTGTGAAGTAGATGTCACATCATCCCTTTGCACTTAGGGTACTTCATGTAAAGGTGGATGATCTCTGAGCATTTCTGTGTAGGATAGAAGGAATATTGTATATAATCCTCAAAGTACTGTTTTAGTTGATACTGATATAATCTTGAAAATACTATTCATCCTGAGCACTCTAAAGTTGAGTGTAAAACCAGAGAGAGAATATTGTTTTTATTAGCAGCTTTTCTGTGTTGCGTTCACTTAGGACTTAAATCATGAAGAGTGTTAGCGTTGAGTAGGAAATGACAATCCACTCCAGTATTCTTGCCTGGAAAATTCCATGGAGAGAGGAGCCTGGCAGGACCCTGACCATGGGGTCACAAAGAGTTGGGTATGACTGAGCACACATGCATGTTGGCATTGAGGAGTATAAAGAACATTTTTACATTTCAGTTTATAAAGAAAATGCTACCTTTTTCAATATCAAGGTATTAACAACTAGTTCTTCTCCAAGACCTGGGCAGGAGGGGCCACTGCCCTTGACCCTGTACCTTATCAATAATTTTTTAAAAATGGTAATTCTTTTTGTTTCCTGTTTAATCTTGGTCAACTCCAAGTTTATAAAGATATTCTTCCATGCTTTGTTTTTAGACATGTCATTGTTCAACTGTTTATATACATTTGGTCTATAATCTGTCTGGAATCCATTTTTTTGTGTGTGCTGTAAAAGTAGGGCCCCAGGTTCATTGTTTTCTAAATGGATCTTTAATTAACCCAGCACCATTTAAAGAGAAGATCATTCTTTCCCCTCTGAATTGCAATGCACCTTTGTTGCGAACGAGGTGATCATACACGTGTGTTTGTTTCTAGATTCTCTGTTCTGTTGGTCAGTTGTTCATCTTTGTGCCACTTCCACACTATTTTAATTACTGTAGCCAAGTGGCAGCCCTTGATACCCTAGGGTAAGTCCTCCAGCTTTGTGATTCTTCAGGGTTGTCTTGGCTGTTTGACCCTTTGTATTTCCACATAAATTTTAGAATTGTTTTCTCAATTTCCACCAGAAAACCTGCTGGGATTTTAATTGAGATCAGATTGAAAGTACAGATCAATCTGGGAAAGAATTAATATCTTACCAATATAGATTTGCAACCCATGAGTATAAAATATCCCTTCTTTTGCATGTAAGTATTCTTTAATATCACTTAGCAATGTTTTACACTTTTTGTCAAGGTTTAATTGTTTGTTGTTGATATGTAAAAGTATAATTGCTTTTGACATATTGACCTGATAGCGAGCAGCCTGGTCAAATTCACTTGTTAATTCTCATAGTTAACCTGTGGGTTCTTTTTTTAACATATAATCGTATCATCTGAAAATGACAGTTTTATCTTTTCCTGGTCAATTTTGATACTTAAAAACTTGTTTTTCTTGCTTTGTTGCACTAGATGTGCTTCTAGCCCGCTGAATAAAAGTGGTAATGAGGAGAGTCCTGTGTCCTGTTCTGGTCCTCCTCTAGATGTGCCCCTCAAGTAGACTTGCCTCAAGTTTATTCAGAGCCCAAGTGCTCCCATTAGATCACCGTCTATCACAGAACTCCACATTCCCTGTCCAAATGGTTCTGAGCCCACTTTCAAGGCCTGCATTAGCCTCTTCCTAGGTTTTGTTCTGCTCAGGGGTGGCCAAAGGGTTTAATAGAGCTCTCACGTGTGGTCTGAGAAATTCACGTGCCAGTGTCTGATGCCCTTCATGGTGCAGGATGCAGAGCTAGGAGTATGAAGAGAATGGCTTGGGCTCCAGGCTGGTTGCCAGGGGCTGGGCTCTAGGCTGGGAGCTGATACTGTTTCCCCCTTAGCCACCAGGTTCTGAGTTGGAGCTCCGAGTTGTAGTATGAATTCAAACCAGGACTTCTGTTATGAAGGTGCCAAGGTAGGAGGACAGAATGTGTTTAATGGCTTGTTACACTGAATTATAATTTTTAAATATTTAGATATGTGATATGTGGACCTTCATTTAAACTCTTACCCTGGGTCTCAAAAATGTTAGGGTGTGTCTGTTAATCTGTTGGTAACAGCAATGTTTTCAGTTTTACTTTGGGTCTTAAATACTTGATTCAGATATTTCTGATGTTCACATTATCTGAGTAGAAAATAGAAAATTGCTGCACACTACAGGAAAGTCGGTACTTCCTTATGCATTTAAAACCATTTGGCACAAGTGATAAGGCTGGAACTGTTTAAAAAAGTCTGGAGGACCCTGGAGAGCTGGGTTAAAGTTCAGTTATGTATTCATAAAACCACATTTCAAAATTTCCATAGAAGAGAGAGATGAAATAGAGTCTCCGATCATTTCAGTGACTCTTTGGAGCAGGGAAATTTATAGGTTCCTCATTCAGAAATGATCTGAGAGTTGGAAAATTTTTAAGTTCCAGAACAGACTTGGAAAAACTCAGACATAACCTGAGGATACCTGAACTTTTTGTTGAGAGGATGTATTATCTTGAAATCAAGACATCACCAAAAGGTCAGGAGTGAAGATGCTGAGTGTGAACTTAACGAAGAGGAATTTAGAAGTGGGGTGCCAGTAGCAAAACTCCTGAGCCTTTGAGGGAGGGGTAATGCAGTCAGTTACAGAAGTCTCCTGTGTTAGAACACCTCTAGCCAAAGGTCCCACACACCATTAGCTTAAACAAGATAGAAGCTTATTTCTCTGGTTCATTTAATAGCTCAGAGTGGACATAGTCCAGGGCTGATATGGGGGTTCCTCGAGGTTGGGAACCTCAGCTCCTTCCGCCCGTCCTTAGGTTGCCTTTGTCTGCTGACCATGACATACTTAGCATCACATGCCAGCCTGGGAGATAGAGGAAAACGGGGCAGGAGAGGGCACAGCTTTCCCCTTCAAGGCACCATTCAGAAGTGTCACGTGCACTGCTGCTCATGTGCATTCTAGCTGCAAGGGATGTTGGGAGGTGTATCTTTTTGGAGAGGTCAAATGCCCAGCTAAAATGGGTGTTCTGTTATTAAAAGGAGAGGGAGGAAATGCACATTGCAGGACAACTATTATTATATGTCTCACGTCCCCAACTGAGATTCTTAGAAAGGACCCTGGCAGTGTCAATCACTCAGAGGCCTGTTGGAGAAAGTGCCAAGATGTGCCCAGAGCGCATTCCCTCGTACTAGTAGGCCGGTCCCTTCTCTAGCGAGACTAAACGGGACATATGGAAATGCAGAATGCTTGTAGATCGTAAGCTGTAACATCACATCACGAGTGTCCTGATGGAAACGGGTTGCTAAGTAGCTTCTACTCTTAAAAGTCATCAGATACCTTTTAATTCCTGCTTGGCTGGATCACACAGCTATAGACAGTTATGCAAGTGTTTCTAGCTTTATAAATTCTTATTTGGTTTCAGAAACTGGCTAAACTGCTGCTCTGTGGCACTGAGTTGGTGACAAATATCCAGGTAGCTATAGATACCAGAGAGATCCACAGGCGAGTCGAGGAAGAGGAGATCAAGCGTCAGAGGTGAGGAACCTCCTGGGCTCTGCAGCCTGGGGGATGTGAAGTGTCTCTTCTCTGGCTCCCCAAATTCTCCCCATTCTTTATCAGGCCTGGTCTAGAAGGATCCGCTTCTTGCCCCCTTTGAGTCCTCCTTCCCTCCACTCCTCCCTCCCCCCCCCTTCCCTCATTGCTTCCCTCCTCCTTCCTCAAGTGTTACCTTTCTAATGTGTTCCAAGCCCGGTGGATACAAAGAGGAGTGGACATGGCCTCTGCTCTTGATGTTCATAGTCTGGTTGAGATAGATGTGAAACCTCTACCCCACCATGATTTGTGTTAAAATAAAAGGAATGGCTACCTACTCCAGTATTCTTGCCTGGAGAATTCCATGGACGGAAGAGCCTGGTGGGCTACAGTTCATGAGATCACAAAGAATCAGACATGACTGAGCGACTAGCACACATTACAAAGGTATGTATGTGCTTCACACGTGGTACAGTGGTAAAGAATCCACCTCCCAATATAGGAGACACGAGAGACATGGGTTTGATCCCTGGGTCAGGAAGATCCCCTGGAGTAGGATATGACACCCCATTCCAGTATTCTTGCCTGGAGAATCCCATGGACTCAGGAGCCTAACAGGCTACAGTCTTTGGGGTCACAAAGAATCAGACACGACTGAGCACACACACTATGTGTACCTGGCAAAGTTATGTATAAGAGTTATGGAAACATGTGTAAGGTGATCTTTAATTTTCCCTGGAGAGATTAGAGTAAACTTTCCAGGCAAAGTGATATTTGAGGTGGGCTGTAAGGGATGAATAGGAGTTGGAGGAATCAAGGAGTGGGCATATTAGGAACAACTTGTACAGAGGCATGAGATTGTATAATGCTTGGGAATGGCATGAAAGTGAGGGATGTGTAGGGGTGGTGGAAGAAAAGGATGAGGTTGAGAAGGTAGATTAAGCTGTTCTGGGTTTAAATTAATTATAAAAACCAGACCCATGAAGGCTGTGAACAAATGTAGCAGCGTGTTAAAGAATGGTAAGGAGTCCACGACTGGAAGTATAGAGGGTCAGGGGGATGATGGAAACTCTTCTGTGGCCAACCCTCAGCTCCAGGCCTCAGCGGGTGGGAGGTGGGGGTTCAGCTGCCTTGACAGGGAGACAGGAGTAAGCTGCTTAGCAGGATTCAGCTTCCTTGGTTTGCACACAGAGGACTGATAACATCAGGGTCAGAGGTCCTCAAGTGAACTCTTCTTTGGCTTGTTCTTCAATGAATTCCTTACCTGTAGTCCAATTACAAAAGCAGCCCATGGGGCCATCTTGCTTCTCTCAGCAGGCACATACACAGTGCGATTTTAATAACAATGTTTTCATTGGTTCTACATAAGTTCAGTTCAGTTCAGTTCAGTCACTCAGTCATGTCTGACTCTTTGCAACCCCATGGACTGCAGCACGCCAGGCCTCCCTGTCCATCACCAACTCCTGGAGTTTACCCAAAGTCATGTCCATTGAGTTGGTGATGCCATCCAACCATCTCATCCTCTGTCGTCCCCTTCTCCTCCTGCCTTCAATCTTTCACAGCATCAGGGTCTTTTCCAATGAGTCAGCTCTTTGCATCAGGTGGCCAAAGTTTTGGAGTAGTTCTCCCCATTAGCAATTTTACCACTGTCACTAAGATATTTATTCTTTCTTTTTTTCAGATTTGTTTATTCATGTATTTGTTTTTGGTTGTGTTAGGTCTTCATTGCTACAAGAGGGCTCTCTCTAGTTGTGGCGAGCAGGGGCTACTGTTCACTGCAGGGCGCTGCCTTCTCCTTGCCGTGGTTTCTCTTGTTGTGGAGCGTGGGCTCTAGGCAGGCGCGCTTCAGTAGCTGCGACTCATGGGCTTAGTTTTGTCATGTGGGATCTTCTCAGACCAGAGGTCAAACCTGTGTCCCCTGTGTTGGCAGGCAGATTCTTTACCACTACCCTGAGCCACAAGGGAAGCCTAATATAATTTATTCTTGAAATTTCCCACTGCCTGTCATGTCCTGGGGACTGAGCTGGCTGATGTCCAGCAGGGGCGACTGTGGAAAGGCCCTGAGGGCCCCACTGAGGAGTCAGTCTTCTCCTGCAGCCCCCGGGGAGAAACGGAAGGTCATGGGTAGTGGTTACAAGATAAATGTGGGTTTTGGAAATGTAACCTGACAGCTATTACTCATGTTTTGGGGGAAAAAAAAAAGTTAATGGAATGATAAGATGTCTTCCAGGCCCTAGCTTGGAAGGTGGGAAGGAGAGAGGGGCTCACAAGATAGTTACGTTGTGATTCTTTTCATTAAGGGGGTTTGCTCCCTTGTTTGGAGACGGTCTTGTAGAAGGACCGGTTACTGAGGTTGGGAGAGTGTTGCAGGCATGTGTCCTGGCCCCTGTTCTCAGGAGGGGCCTCACATCTCAGCCCTAATGCCTCCTTCTCTCTAGTCCTGTCCTTGGTGTGCTCCATCACACGGTTTCTTTGGCAGTTTTGGAATTCTGGGAGACCACTCCTATTTTTCATTGCTAATGGCGGTATTTTCCTTTTTGTATGTTCCACTCGTCATTTATTGATAATTTGGGAGGGGAATGGCCAGACAGTTGAAGTCATGTCAGTAGTAAAAGATAATAATTGGAGTGCCATTTGTTAAGTGACTACTATACTGGGAATCATCTTATTTAATCCTGACAACAGTCACAGGAAGGTAGATACTTTTGTCCTCTCTATTCTACAGCTGGGAAAAATGGGGCCTGCAGAAGTTAAGCAATTTGCCTAAAGTTGAGAGCCAGTAGCAAAATCAGGATTTGAACACAAGCTCTGGGGCTTGTGACCAAGTGCTTAACTACTGAGTCACTCTTACTCAGAGGATATGACCAGGTGACTCTCAGGTGTGTTTGTACAGCTTTAATGCTGATCCATTTTTGTTCTGGGTCAAAACCATTTTGTCTTGGTTTTGTTTATTTGGCCTCTTATTTACAGTCAAGCTTTAAACTAAAAGAAGATTTCTTAGAGCCTGGTTTGTTTTACAGTGGTTCTACCTGGAGGCAGGCAGGACGTGGTACCCTGACCTGTTTTCCAGATCCTGGAGAGCCAGCCTGTGCTCTTGGAAGGCAGCCTCCAGAGCTGGTCTGTTTATTTATTTGCAGACTTGAAAAGCTGGAGAACGAGGTCAAGACCAGCCAGGACAAATTTGATGAGATCACCGTCAAGTGGGAGGAGGGCAAGCAGCGGAGAATCCCCCAGGAGCTGTGGGAAATGCTCAATGCCCAGCAGGGGCACTGCGCAGGGCTGATCGAAGATAAGAACAAGCTGATCAGCGAGTTACAGCAGGCAAGAGCCTGCCCCTGAGTCCTGCCACAGGGGGTGGAGCTGGGGGAGCGTGTGCTTTTCCTGAATAGAGAAAGGCAGAGACCTTACTTCCTTACCAAGAACGTGATACAGCTTGGGCAGTACACTTAAAAATATTTTAAATCAATGTATGGTTGAATTACTGTATTGTGCTAATTATGGTTACACAGCAACGTGACTCAGTTATACATAGGTATACATTCTTTTTCGTATTCTTTTCCATTACTGTTTATCACAGGATATTGAATATAGTTCCTGTGCTCTATAGTAGGACCTTGTTGTTTCAGGCTATATAATTTTTTTTTAAAGATTATTATTTAAAAAAAAGTATATATTTATTGTTTGGCTGTGTAAGTTAGGGCACACAGGCTCTTTAGTTGTGGTGTGCAAGCGTAGTTGCTTGGTAGCATGTGGGATCGAACCAGTGTCTCCTGACTTGCAGGTGAATTCTTGGCCATTGGACCACCAGGGAAGTCCCTCAGACAATATCCTTTTAACCAGAAGAAAATGTTCGGTAGTCATTTTAGAATCATTGGCTGCATAAGAGAAAGATGTCCTGTTGTAGCAAATGCTGTTTCAGGCCTTCTGTGCTTAGTTAAGGCACAGAACACTCTGCAGTAGATGTGTGCCTGTGTTAGAACATGGACATTCATTGCTTGGCAGGGGCACCCGGGTTTTCTGGGAACCTGCAGGGACATTTGCAGCAAGTAGTCCTCTTGGGGTTTGATCCTGGGCTTCTCGTTGAGGCTTTGCCCTGAGCTGAGCCCATGGGCTCCAAACACTCATGCTTCTCCCTGGATAGGCGAGGAAGAAGCCTATCCAGCACCTTCCCCTTGTGCAGCTGTATTTTCTAGTGTGTGAACTGATGGGAGGGGTCCGAGGGTGGTCTGGGGGTTGGGAGCTGGCAGCCTCTGGCTTCTGTCTCAGGTGGTGACCAACCTTTGATATGCTCTTCTGTAGGAGTTAAAAATAAAAGATGACCAGTACGTGAAGGATTTGAAGAAACAGTCAGATGACATCTGCCTGCTCCTGGAGAGGATGGAAGAGCAGGTGAAGAATGTGATGAAAACCTTTCGCCAGGAGCTCCAAAATATCGAGGTAATGGTGTGTGAGAGAGCTGCCCCCTGCCCTGGGAGGAGGCAGTGGGAGGAGGCCCCTGGGGGGAGGCTGGCTTGTCCTAACCACCCAGGGAGGGCCCTAGACTGCTGTCATTGCTCTGTCTCACTGCTCTCATTGAGGTCTCTGCTCTAGGGTTTCATTCATTTGCTTGTTCATATGTTCCCTCCTCCAACAAATATGCAAGTGTCTACTAAATGGCAAGCACTGTGCCAGGGGCTGGGGCAACAACCAGGGACAAAGTCCTGGATGGAACCTGTGTTCTAGCAGAGGCAGCTACACAATAGACAGATAGATTACTATGTATGTAATTTGACAGGTGGTGATAAGCACTTGGAAAGAAGATAAAACAGGGTAAAGTAAGAGGAGTAGAGGAGGGAGATCAGTGTTCCAGAACATCAGGCATTTGTGAGCCACTTATCTGACAGTCAGGGATGTGGGGAGGGGAAAGGGGTGTGTCAAACAGGATCCTGGAGCCTGTACTCTGGACTCGCCTGAAATGTTTAGGACTGGCATTCAGATAGGCCTTTCCAAATATGGAAGAGAGCCAAGAGGTGGGGGCCTCTCTTTGGATTAACACAGACTTACCTCTGCATTCCCATCCACACCCCCCACCTCCTGTCCTGTGAGCTCCATGCTGCCTTTGCTTCATGGAAACCCCAGCCACTGCAGTGCTCCCACTTGAGTCCCAGTGGAATACATGCCAGGGTTGGCCCTGTGACTTCTAGGCCCTGGCCGTCCCCCACTGGACATAGGACGGCTGGCACACTTCCTCTCACAATCCTTGTGAAACGTAGGCTTTGTAACACTCCCCATGCAGCTCCTTCCACAGTGCTTTGGGTGCATGAAACCTGACAAGTCTCCATTTGGGTTCGACTTTGTGTGGGTGGAGATGCGGTGCTGCTGCTGCTGTCTGAGCGCTCTTTGATGCTGTGGGACCTGCCTGATTAAAGCAGACACAAGAGCCCTTTTTCCTTCTGGTCACAGAAAGCATTTGAGGTGGAGAGACAGGAGCTGCTGACCAGCAATAAGAAGAAATGGGAGCGGGCCTTACAGGCTCACAACGCCAAAGAGGTCAGGGAGTGGCCAGTGGGGGAGGCGGAGGGGGTGTCAGTGGTGATGCATAGAGTCTGGGGTGACTCCTGTTGAGGCTGAATTTGCTAGCTTTTTGTACCTTGGGGAAGACTGCTGTAGCCCCACATCCTGACTGCGACGGCCAGGTCAGCAGCAGGGCCTGTGGATGGCCCCCTCTTGTGGTGGTGGTGGTCAGTACCACGTGTGTAGCCCTCTGTGGTTTCACTGGTCCTGCCACTCTCTCCTTTGTTTCCGGGGTATCTCCCCTAGCCATGGGTATTTGTGGCCCAAGAAACTGTCTTAAGACACATTCTAAAGGGTGTGAGGTTATCAATTTATTTCAGAGACATAAAGAACAAATAAATAATATGACCAAGATCCATTAGATTTTTTTCTTAGAAATACGAATGTCTGATGGCAGGGTCTGCACTCCTCTTAGGGTCTATAGAGTCAGGACCCTGGTAGGCAATGCAAGCCATGGCCTTCGAGTTCAAAGCCTTGGGCACAGGGTTTCTGAGGGCAGAGAGACTCCCTTCAGAGTTAGAACAGGGATGGGGCATGTCCTTCCCCTTGTCTCCCTCTGCCTTCAGCTGGAATATCTGATGAACCGCATCAAGAAGGTGGAGGACTACGAGAAACAGCTCAACCAGCAGAGAGTCTGGGACTGCGAAGAGTACAACACGATCAAGATCAAGCTGGAGCAGGACGTGCAGGTGTGACTTGTTTCTCTGCCAGGGTGTCTGGGCGGCTTGTCAGACGGAGCAAGCACCTGTGACTGTCTCATCCTTAGCAACCGCCCATAATATTCTAGAGCTAGTCCATCCAACCAATACTTACTTGTTATCTGCTCTCAGTGATCGTATCTGAAGGAGCTCATGTACAAGAAACATGTGGAGGAATTCTTTCTGTAATAAACCAGTGGAAAACTGCCAAGATGCCAAAGGGGTCTGGAAACCATGGCATGTGAGGGATCACTGAGAGAATTGTGCATTTTTGCTGGGTGGAGGGAAAGTATCTCTAGGGCCAGGTAATGGTAGGGTGGCCACCAAGCGATGGGTGCCTACCATACTCCAGGCACTTAACACACAGTTTTCCTAATCCTTACAGTAACTCAAAGGGGGAGAAATCACTAGTGTCATTTTATATGCCATGAAACTGAGCCTCAGAGACAAGGCTATTTATTTATCTGGTAAATGGTAAGCCCTGGATTCAAACCCAGTTCTGTGTGCCTTGATAACCTCTGTCCTTCCTGGTATTCCAAACAGCCTCCTGATGCTGGTTAAACATAGCAGTAAGGCAGATTCTGACTCACCGTCAGGAAGAACTGCCTCACAGTTGGAACTGTCTAACACAGAAAAGGGTCATCCCACAGAACAAAGAGTCCTTTTATGCCATAAAGTATTCAGAGGCTGAATGACTGTGTCTGTCTTCAGTGTAGAAGAAGGATTCCTGCAGTGGGAAGGGGGTTAGATTTTCTGGTTTCTAAAGTTCTGTCCAAATCTAGGATTCTGTGTTTCAACGTCGGGTAAAAAAATTATCCCTAATTACATTTAGATGTAACATAGTTGCATCTTAACATTCAAGCATGTTATGTTCATTTCAGTCTTCATGTAGAAAAACATGTTAAAGTTTTTCCACATAGCTTTTGGTAGAATTTCAGTTCTTAACTCCTCTTGTAGCTTTCTATAATGAGATTAAATTAAAAAACCCCATTAGGGAATTCCCTGGTGGTCCAGTGGTTAGGACTCAGAGCTTTCACTACCGTGGCCCCAGGCATTAAAAAAAAAAATCCTATTAGACTACAGATATTTTTCCAGTCTTGAGAATTTTCTTGAGCCTTTCTTAATATTAATGTCAGGGAGCTGAGAGTTACTGACAAGGAACAGTAGACTTTTGTAAAAAAAGCAGCATGGCTTCTGTGGGCTGTACACATTACACTGTTAATGAAAATAGCTGTAGTTAAGTTTTCTGAAGTTATCTTGGTTCTATGATCATGTACATGATAGCAGTACATACTGGTCTCCAACAGTGAAATAATGAAACCTCACATTCTTTTTTGTTGTTGCTTTGTTTTTCTTTTTGCGGCAAAGACGTTTAACAGAAGATCTACCCTCTTAGCAAATTTTTAAGTGTACAGTACAGTATTGTTGATCATGAGCTCTTAGTTGTACATTTTATTTCCAGGGCTTATTCATCTTGCATAGGTGAAACTTTGTAACACTTTGATTAGTACCTCCTCATCTTCCCCTCCTCCAGCCCTTGACAGCCCCTCATTGCAAATTCTATTCTCTGCTTCCTTTTAATTATTTTAGATCTCACATGTAAGTGAGATCATGCAGTATTTGTCTTTCTATATATCTGGCTTATTTCACTTAGCATAATGCCCTGCATGTCCATTTATGTTGTTGCAAATGGCAGGATTTCCTTTTTTAAAGGCTGAATAACATGCTATTGTATGTATATAGTGTTAGTTGCTCAGTCGTGTCCAACTCTTTGTAACCCCATGGACTGTACCCCGCCAGGCTTCTCTGTCCATGGAGATTCTCTAGGCAAGAATACTGGAGTGGGTAGCCATTCCCTTCTCTGAGGAAATCTTCCCAGCTCAGCTTCGAACCTCAGTCTCCTACATTGCAGTTGAATTCTTTACTGTCTGAGCCACCAGGGAACCTTTTAAAAATCTGTTAGTCCATCATTAGATATTTAGATTGTTTCTATATCTTGACTGAAGTGAATCATGCTGCAATGAACGTGTGAGTGCAGATACCTCTTCGAGTTCCAGATTTCAAATTTTCAGGTTACATATTAATATTACCTGATCAAATAGTAACCCTATTTTTAATTTTTTGAGAAACTGCCATATTGTTTCCATAGTGGCTGTACCAGTTTGCATTCCTGCTAACTGTAGAAGGATTCTCTTTTCTCCAGATCCTTGTCAATGCTTTGTCCTTTGTTTTTTGATAATAGCCATCCTAATAGGTGTGAAGTGATATCTCACTGTGGTTCTGATTTGCCGTTCCCTGATGGTCAGTGATGTTGAGCATCTTTTCATGTGCCCATTAGTCATCTTCATGTCTTCTTTGGAGATATGTCTATTCAGGTTCTTTCCCTATTTCCTGAGTAACTTATTGCTGTTGAGCTATAGGCTTGGAACTTAATGTTCTTAATCCAATGTTCAAATGCTTGAATGATGTCAAGAAGTTATTGAAGGACATGAATGAAGCCAAGAAGGACATCGGACATGAGGAGGTTATGGAAAAGAGATAAGACTAGGGAGGTGAGGGGCAGAGAGGCAGGTAGCCCAGAAGACCTGGCTTTCCTGGCTCACGCTGTCTGGATGGACTAGTGGTGAGGTGTGGGTATTTGGGAGGCAGACAGATGGAGACTCTCAGAGTGGGAACCTGCATGCAGTTCATTGGTGTAACAGTTCTTCCCTGTGTCAGAATGACTATACTGTACCATATTTTACCCTTGAACTGAGAAAAAGGTAGTTGAGTCATGGATTACCCATATTGCAATATGTGGAATATTTTAGTAGATTGAACTTTATCATAGTGCCTCTGAGCTGTAGTCACTAGATAGTAAAGTCAGATAGCATCAATTTTTGTCAGAAGGATATGTCATGCAGCTCACTTCCTAACACTAATTCTTTGCACTGTATCATTTCTAAAATATGGAACTAATTTTTTTTGCAAACCCCCAAAATATAGAAGATCCAGTACATATAGGTTTGGCTTGATAGGTACAAGAAGTAAAAATAAGAAGGTATACTTTTCAGTTCTTACTGCTAGAAAGGTCATATTAACAATGAACAAAGAGAAACCTATAAACATTATGTACTCAACAATTTAACCACTGATACCCACCACGCGAAAATAAAAGTGCTAGGAACACTTTGTTCTTGATGTAGGAAGCAACCTTTATTTTTAGGCCTTATGTACTCATTTAAAATTGGAAAATGGTTTAGTACAACTTTAATGCCAGAATATTAATCACAAAAGTTAAATACAAGTTATTTACTTAACAAGTACTATGAACTTACCTGGTGCAAAGCATAAAAACAAATAAGATACAGTTTCTGTCCTCTAGGAGTTTATAATCATTTGAGTTAGAAAGCAAGATCGTGAATAGTGTAACTAGTTTAAGAGAGTGAGTGAGGGCTTGGTGGCTCAGTGGATAAGAATGCCACTGCAGGAGACATGAGTTCAGTCCCTGGCCCGGGAAGATCCCACATGCCAAGGAATAACTAAGCCCATGTGCCACAATTATTGAGCCTGTGCTCTCGAGCCCAAGAGCCACAACTACCGAAGCCCGAGTGCCTTAGAGCACTCGCTCAGCAACAGGAGAAACCCACACCACAGTTAGAGAGCAGCCCCCACTCCCTGGAACTAGAGAAAAGCTCACTCAGCAGCAAAGACCCAGCCGGGTCAAAAACAAACAGATAAATAAACTAAAAATTCTAAAAAAAGACAAGTTCATATTCATTAATTGTTAATGGCTACAAAGGCCAGTTTTTTTCTTTTTTTTTTTAAAGAGTGGGTGACAGGGAAGAAAAGGGTAAGCAAGAGTTTGGAATGTGGAGTCTACAGTTCCTAACGGAATCCCTGGGGCCCCTCCACCCCCACAGGTTGAGATCAGTGATAGAGGCCCAGTGGTGTCTTTAGAATCAACTGAGATGGCCAGAGGGAAAGGCTGTACCAAATTTCTGTTCTGCTGGGGCTATGTTGGCTACCGGTGTCAGCCTGGGCCTGCAGCTGGCTTCAGAAAGGAGCTCCCTTGCTCCTCCTACTGTCCCAGGAGAAAGAGAAGAGGGGGGTGATCCACACCCACAGTCCCTGGAACACTGAAGGATTTTGGTGACAGGTTAAATTATAATCTTTATAAATGATTCCTCCAAACTAAACATGCTGTTTTGCCATTAGTTTATAGGAACACAGGATACAGCTTTGGGAAAATATCTTTGGATGATTGAATAATAAGCACAGACATTTCTCCAGGCAAGAATATCAGAGTGGGTAGCCATTCCCTTCTCCAGGGTATCTCCCATAACCCAGGGATCCAACCTCGGTCTCCCATAGTACAGGCAGGTTCTTTACTATCTGAGCCACCAAGAAAGCCCCAGTGCCCTAAGAATATTAACAAAAAGCAGGAGTAGATATTTTCAACAAGAGGAAATAAATTGGCTAATAAATATTCAACTGCATGCACAAGCAAAAGACTGTAAGTTAAAACAGTCCAGTGACAGATTATTATTATTATTATTATTATATATATTTTTGCCCATAAAACAGATTTAGATTTAAGGTCTGTTTTTAGGTCACATCTACTGGCTGGTTAGCTCAGTTGGTTAGTGTGTGGTGCTAATAAGTTCTTTCAGGTCACAAAGAAAAAGACATGGCCTAATTACTTTTGTTCAGAGTTTTGTAAACTGTATTCAACTAGGTGAAATATTGATGATGGTTTCAGAAAACCAACAACAAAATAATGGTGCCAGTGGTATTTTTTTCCTTTGAAGATGCATTATATAGGAAAAATAGTCTATTTACATAATGATTATTGTGTAATAATCTGCCTTTCAGAATGAAATTCACAGGGGAATTCATATGGTAGGGCTCGCATTTATAACTTATGTGCTCCCCCTGTGTTATAAATATAAAAATTGTTCTATTGCCCAATAAGTTTGGCAAATGCTGTCTTAGTGACAGAGGCTCATTGCAAAGGAGGTCCATAGACACAGTTATAGCAGACACCCAGATGCTCAGGGTCACGGGGCTCCCCAGTGCCTCAGTCCCAGCAAAGCCTGGAGCTCGCTCATGATTATCCGAAATCCAGAGCAGCTCTGGAGACCCTCCTTCTCTGTGAGTGTTCACGCTCTCTCAGATTGTCACCGTCCAACAAGAAACTTTTCTATTGGACTTCTGTGCCAGCTCCGCTGAACAGTGGCCTCCCCAGTGTCCAAGGCTGGTCCCATTTGAAGCAGCAGAGATGGTTATGATTGGAGCTCAGTGGCATAAATCATCATGACTTTGCTGGAAGAATTGCTGAGAATCTTTTCCCCCAGTGGACATAGCACACAGCCATCCCTAGAAGGTTGCAGGGCTCAGACAAGTGGCTCAGGCTGGAACCACCCTGCGTAATTGCACTTGAGACGAAGCTGTGCCTTCAGCATCTTCTATAGTCCTGTTGGGATACTGTCAAGTCAGAAATTTCTAAATGAAACTTTAAGCATGCTCAGCAAGAGTGGGGTGCGGCTTCAGGCAGCTCCCTGCTCCGTCCCAGGGCCCCAAGGGCCAGGCCCGCTCTGCATGGTGCTGAGCCCTGACAGGTGGGGAGGTGGGTACTTGTCCACAGTCAGTGGAGTGCGAACCATAAATTGTGGGAATCAATTTACTGAGAACCTTTGAACCTGACTTTTGAGAATCTACTGTAAGAAAGTAAAATACTACCAATATTTTACATGCAGTACTTCCCACCATTATTTTATAATATTGAAGATTATCAAAGCAACATAAATGTATTTGTACATGTATAAATGTGTATACTGTAAGGAAATAATAAAACATCATGGTATATGATAAACAAATATTTCACATATGGTAAATTATAATATAAAAATATTATGCGCCATTGTGTGCTTAGTCGATCAGTCTTGTCCTTTGACGACCCCGTGGACTGTAGCCCGCCAGGCTCCTCTGTCCATGGGGATTCTCTAGGCAAGAATACTGGAGTGGGTTGCCATGCTCTCCTTCAGGGAATCTTCTCAACCCAGGGATCGAACCCAGATCTCCAGCATTGCAGGCAGATTCTTTACCATCTGAGCCTTTGTCCAGACCTTTAATTTGCCTCTAATGATAAATTTTCTAAGAATTCAGGTAGAGACACTTTTTCCTAAGGTTCCTCCGATATGACTTCAGAACAAATGACTAGGGCCCCTTGGGCGTAATAAATTGTACCAGGACCAATTAGAATTATTTTTTTTAAACTTTAGATTCTTGAACAACAGCTTCAGCAAATGAAAGCAACCTATCAGCTAAACCAAGAGAAGTTAGAGTACAACTTCCAGGTGCTGAAGAAGAGAGATGAAGAAAGCACAGTGATTAAGTCCCAGCAGAAGAGGAAGATCAACCGGTAAGCTCGAATGCCGAGTGTCTTTCTTCTGGGCCTTTCTGTACTGAAAAGAGGGATGGGTATGTACTCTTTCGTAGGAGTAGAAATTGTTAGAAGTATAACTGATTCTTAGGGCTTCCCAGGTGATGCTAGTGGTAAAGAACTCGCCTGTCAAAGCAGGAGATGATAAGAGACACGGGTTCGATCCTGGGGTTTGAAAAATCCCCTGGAAGAGGGCATGGCAACCCACTCCAGTATTCTTGCCTAGAGTATCCCCATGGACAGAGGAGCCTGGTAGGCTACAGTCCATGGGGTCACAAGAGTCAGGTACGACAGAAGTGTCTTAGCTTGCACGCATAACTAATTCTTATTAAAAGAGGTGGTTTTTTTTTTTCTTTTGAAAACAGGATACATTCAACTGGTTCTGTCCTCCTGACTCCACAGGCAGTTTACAGAAAAAAGAAAAGAGTTTATAGCAAAAAGTCTGTCTCCCATCCATCTTTTGTCTGGGTCCTCTGTCCCACCTCTGGATTCGTTTCTTTTGCTTTTTCCAAAATTTCCTTATGCACATACAAGCAAACACAAAGTCTCATGCCTGTCTGCTTTTACACGACTAATAGCATCCTATACACATTGTTCTGTATCTTCAAGATGTTTCCATACCAGTTCATAGAGAACATTCATGTTATTTCTTAAGCTGTCTTGTATTCCACTGCATAGATATGCTAGGATTTACTCAACCAGGCCCACACTGCTGTGCATTTTATTGACTTCTAAACTCTTGCTGTTGCAAATAGTGCCAACATAAGTATTAGATTGGTCAAAAAGATCGTTTGGGTTTTTCCATGACATCTTACAGAAAAACCCAAATGAACTTTTTTTTGCCAACCCAGTACTTATGTCATTGTGTCACTTTGCATGTGCGCAGGGCTATCTGGAGAATAAATCTCAACTTGTAATTACAGAAGCAGTACATGTGCATTATACAAAATTAGAAAATACCTCAAGTGAAAGTAAGATAAAAACTTATGTGCTCAGTCGTGTCTAACTCTTTTTGACCTTACTGTCTATAGCCCACCAAGCTCCTCTGTCCATGGAATTATCCCAGCAAGAATGCTGGAGTGGGTTTCCATTTCCTTTTCCAGGGTATCTTCCCAACCCGGGGATCAAACTCACATCTACTGTATCTCCTGTGTTGGCAGGCAAATTCTTTACCAGTGAGCCACCAGGGAGGCCAAGATAAAGACATAAAAATACCATATTATTACTATCAGAGATTAAGTATATTTCTTTCCCTCTCTCTATTAATATATAGATATGATATCATACTGCAACTCTTTTGTAATCTCTTTCTAAAAAGTCAATAACCTCCACCTTTTCATTTCAGCAAATTTCATTTCATCTAAATATCTGGATCAAATTCATATTCCCCCAGTTGCCCAAAGACAGTGGTAAAGAACCCGCCTGCCAATGCAGGAGACCCTAAGAGACTGTGGGTTTGATCCCTGGATCAAGAAGATCCCCTGGAGAAGGAAATGGCAACCCAGTCCAGTTTTCTTGCATGGAAAATTTCATGGACAGAGACGCCTGACAGGCTACAGTCTATGGGACTGCAAAGAGTCGGACACGACAGAGCGACTTAGCACGTAGCATCCTTTACAATGAAAAGTGTTAGTCGCTCAGTCGTGTCCAACTCTTTGCGGTCCCATAGACTATAGTCCTCCAGGCGCCTCTGTCCATGGGATTTCTCAGACAAGACTACTAGAGAAGGTTGCTGTTCCCTTCTCCAGAGGATCTTCCTGACCCGTGGATCAAACTCAGGTCTCCTGCATTGCAGGCAGATTCTTTACCACTGAGGAGTTTATCTAAACTAGTACCTCATCTAGATCCAGGCATTTGCATCACATTGTTAAATTAAGTTCCTTAAGTCTCTCTGATCTATGAGATCCCCCCACCCCTCCACCTGCCAACCTCCTTTTTACATGATACTTATATACTTATTGTATCCTCTTCTCTTGATGTATGTGTGTGAGAGTGTGGTGGGGGTGAAACCAGTTATTCGTCCCAAAGTCCAGGTCAGTTATCTTATAGAATGTCTCATTTTTTGGATGTGAAAATAGGAATGATCAGTGTTTGTGTATGGGGGACTTCTGATTTGTTTTTGAAGATTTTTTTTATGTGAACCATTTTTAAAGTCTTTATTGACTTTGTTACAATATTGCTTGCATTTTAGGTTTTTTGTTTTTTGGGTTTTTTTTTGTCCTCCAGGCATGTGGGATCTTAGCTTCCTGACCAGGGATTGAACCCACCTTCCCTGCACTGGAAGGTGAAGTCTTAACTACTAGACTGCCAGGGAAGTCCCCAGGGATCTTCTGACAATTTCAGAATAATGCTTGAAAGGGAAAATTTTATTTTTAGAATTTTTAAACTGGAATTATGTCAGTCCTCAAACCTTCCTGTTCCTGTGTTAATGGGGCTGCTGTTCAGTAGCGTGACGTCTGAAGTCTGGTCTGGGTTCTGAAAGCCATGCCTGTATTATTTCATGTGACAGATTTCCAGTTACAGGACTCCTATTAGCAGTGAGCTGGGCACCGGTGGCCCACCTGCATTCGTCATGCTGTGGCCACGTCTCTCCTAGTGCTGTAGATTTTGACCAACCCCTCTCCTGCCAGCCAGGTTCCCCTGGTGACCTGTGTGAAGCTCTTCCGTAGCACTCTTCACACAGTTCTGTAATTAACGTTTGTCTCAGTCTCTGGCTGCACTGATAGTGCTGTGTACTCAGACATATCCTTGTATTCATCTTGGTATTCCAACATATCCTTGGCACAAAAGAGACCTTTCATGTTTGATGAATGCACAACTGAACGAATGAATGAGTTAGTGAACTCGTTAATAGTATCAGCTCTTTCAGGATGGGGCACTTATATATCACAGGCTTGTGGTACAGTATAAGTTTTTCCTTTCTGTTTTCCTTGTTTCTGAAAGGAACAAGGTTAGGGAGGTTATTTCAATCTGTGAGTCAGCACTAGATGTGGCACCCGACAAGTGCTGTGTTGAGGACGATTCAGTCACACTCTTGAATAAGAGGCTACCTCTTATTGGGTTTTTGAAAAGACCCTGATGCTGGGAAAGATTGAGGGCAGGAGGAGAAGGGGATGACAGAGGATGAGATGGTTGGATGGCATCACCGACTCAATGGACATGGGTTTGCGTGGACTCTGGGAGTTGGTGATGGACAGGGAGGCCTGGTGTGCTGTGGTTCATGGGGTCGCAAAGAGTCAGACATGACTGAGCGACTGAACTGAACTGAACTTGGTGAGCTTGAGGTTCTGGATAGTTTCAAATGCATTTAGTTCTGGATGATTCCATTACTGTCTATTGCTTTCCTTTCCTTGATCACAGTTGTAGCTGTGTTTAGGAAAATATTTGGGAGGGTTTCCTGCCCCTTCCACAAGTCTGAGCCTAGGTTTTATAGAACTGAGTGGAGCAGATAGCAGATGGATGGATCATACATTGCAGCCTTAGTTCAGCAGTAGACTAACTTTTTTTCCCTCTTCTTCAACTCAGCCTGCATGATGTACTTAACAATCTGAGATCAAAATATAACAAGCAGGTCAAGCAATTTCAGGAGGAGAACCAGTCCCTAACCTCAGACTACAAACGCCTTGTGTTGCAATTCAAGGAGCTTCAGAAAGCCATGAGGTATTTCAGGGATGTGGGGCCCAAGGCATGTGCCCTAGGAGGGGGATTGTGGGAGATGAGCTGGTAGTGACAGTGATTTCATTAGCGTGTGATATCACCTGCTTTGGGGAGCTGGGCCAGAGCACCAGAGAATCTTTTGTGCTGTCTCTCCTGTCACTTTACTTGCATGTCACCTGCCTTGTTCTCATAGGTGAGAATCGTGGGCTCAGAGAAGGGGCCGGGCCCAGGGTTTCCCCCAGCTCTGCCTCAATTCTCGCCCTACCACTAGCTGGGGGTGCATGTGGGGGACTGGTCCAGCCCTGGTGTCAGCTGACCACCATCAGTAACTCTCCTTCCTAGGCATTTTGCTCTCATTGATGACAAGCAGTTTCGGGAGATTTGGCTGATGAATGAAGAGGAGGCAAAGGACCTGATAAACAGAGCCTTTGATGTAGACAGAATCATCCATACCCATCATCTAGGACTCCCCTGGATGGCACCCAACTTCTGGTTCCTAAAGAACGTGGGGCCAATTTCTCAGCAGCAGCAGAAGTCCGCCACACAGATCTTAGAGGAAGTGCTGATGGAAGCAGGTGACCGGAACAGAGTCAGAGCATCTGCAGGCTGGAGTAGAGGGGCCTCTGAGAACATGTATTCCCATCAGCAATCTGCTGTCTTGCACTTTTCAAAATCTTTTCATGTGTATTATCTCATTTTACCTTTTGAGCAAGTGGTAAAATCTGGGTAGTACCATGATTTTTAGTACTGTTTTCAGACAAGGAATGTATAGCTTTAAACTTAACATTTGTAAATTTAAGTGAAGAAAAATTTTGGCTCTTGCCATCAGCTGCTCTTGCTGACGTTATTTTTCTGTGAAGCAGCTGCTTTCCCTACATTTTCATTGACTGTTTCTAAACTGCCGCAGGGTTAGAAACCATAGAGTAGATGTGTTAGATCACTCTCTAAAATAAGAATAAATAGGTCCACGTTTCTCTCCCACTTCCTGGTCAGGGTTGGATTTTGAGTCTGACGTTTCTAGGTAGATAAAATTGGGAAGAGTGGGGCATTATAGGCTGGCCAGGAGCGGCAGAATTCTCCAAATAGTCTCTTATTTCAACCCCAACCCTCCCATTCTTTTTTCCCCCGACATAATAGGTTTTCATCAGCTAAAGTGACTTTAGTGCCTTGAAGAGGCCTTTGAAGGTATACATTTTCTCAAGGAAAGCGGCTTGACTGTCCCTCAAAGTGAACCAGGGCAGAGGAATCACCTTCTTTTTCTTTCTCTCTCTTCTGTGTCCCTTCACAGAAGAGGACGGGGCAGACGAGGACAGCTCAGGATCAGAGTCTTACCTGGACCTGCCGAAGCAAGTTTCAGCAAGAACGACCCGCAAGATCTTGATGCTCCTGTGTGACGAGTCGGTGAGGCTCGGTGCCTGGCGGGAGGCTTTGCAACTTTCTGCCCTTACTTCTCGAATACTGCCTTGGATGACACTGGAAGGGCCAGAGGTGGCCTGGAGGCAGGAGTGGGCCTGCCCAGAGGATGGTGCTGTTGCGGGGGGACCCCTCCTGTCTGGGCTTCACGGGGTTGCAGAGAAGCTGTCATGCTCCAGTGCTGGCCTGGCTGGCCAAGGGGTCCTCCCTTCATGGGTCAGCAAGGCGGGTCCATGCCAGCAAGGGACCCCTGCTAATTCATTTTTTTAAAAAATGCTAAAATATGCTCATCTGCAAGAGAAAGGGTCCCAGTCTTGCCCCCTTGCATCCATCTGACAGTAATGTGGCCACAACCCATGGTGGCCTTTCTCTGGGAGCTGAGTTTGCAATTACTCGGGGGGTATTAGGCCTTGGATGTCTTGACTCATGTTAGAAAACCCACTGGAATTGGTGTAATGATCTTGTTGGAGCTGGTTTAGCTAGAAGTCCGATTGTACCCAAACAGAATTGCTGTTTACTTAGGTTTTCGTTTCTGAGATAGGAGAGAAATGGTACAAAGATTGGCAGGCGCCAGTCCACTTGGGACAGTTCTTGGGCATGACAGGGATCTCTTGCCACTGAGGGCAGCTCCTGCTGAAGGAGGAAGTTGACTGACTCTCTGTTCTGTCCGCCGGCTTGCTGCCTGCGGCCTCCTGTCCAAGGCGTTGTTCCCACTCCGGGGGTGCACCCAGTCTTTTCCCCTCTCAGCCCCAATTGATGGATACTGGGTTCTGTTCCGGTGTCTCCATCTCCCTCCAGCCTTCCTCTGCTCCAGATCAGCACCTACTGCTGTGTCCTGGAGATGTCTGGGGACTCTGTTGTTCAGTTGCTCAGTTGTGTCTGACTCTTTGCAACCCCACGGACTGCAGCACACCAGGCTTCCCTATCCTTCACCATCTCCTGGAGCTTGCTCAGACTCGTGTCCATTGAGTCTGGGGACTAGCATTTGAGTGAAGTGACATGGGTGGGAGGGAATGGGACTGGATCAGGTCTGGACTGTGGTGGGGAGCTCAGGTGTTCGCCCCTGTGGCCTGTGGGCGAGGTGAGTCAGCGCCTTCTGAGGATGCCTCAGTCCATCATGAGGACTGGCTTCGTCCCTGAGAAGGACTCTTAGGCATCCCAGGAAGACCTTCCTCTGGGGTGCCTGGCAGCTGCTCGATGTTCTGGCCCTGGGGTTCTTTCTGCTCTGCGGAGTCATCCCTGGCTCGTTGCCCAGAGGGGGACGGGCTGCAGGACTTGTCCTGAACCCAGTCTCCGACTGGAGATATCGTCTCCCTTCTCCTCAGGGTTTCCTCATAGAGAGCAAGCTGCTGAGCCTACTCCTGCCCCTGGAGAAGAGCGAGTGTTACCTGCTGAGACTGGACGCCATCTTCTCGGTGAGTACCCCCCAGGCTGAGTGGGTTGGGGGATCCAGTGTAACACAGCCCCCTGGGTTTTCCAGCACTGCCTCAGCCCTGGAGCAGCGCCTGGGCTCCCGGGGCTTCCCTAGCTCACTGTCACATCCTTCCCTTTACCTACTCTCCATGCCAAGAATTGGCCTCAGAGTTGTGTCGGTGACTCCCATCCCACCCCTTCCTCTGCCAGCCCCTTTCTCATGGCCCAGCTCTCAGCTGTAGGTTCTCCCCTTCACCCCTAAACTCAGAGGCGTGTTCAGCTCCTTTTAGCATGCTCCTGCCCACCAGGCCTGTATGGAGCTGTTCTGAGCATTGTTTCTCTGTTCTGATGTGCGTGTCTACACTCACTGTGCTTTCCGGTGTTGAAAGGCCTGTTCTCAGGGCCTTGGTAGGGGCCAGGGAGGCTGAAGGGAGCCAGCCCCTGCTCTTGGGAGCCTAGGGACTTCTTAATATGGTGTTTGAAGCGGTCATTCTATTTTTTCCTCAGGCTCTTGGAATTGAAAATGAAGATGACTTATATAAACTGGTTAACTTCTTCCTCAAATACCAAACTCATCATTCACCTCCCAGCCAGGTAAGGTGAAGTGTAATAAAAAAAAGAGAGAGCATTAAAAATTCTCCTGGAATCCCCCAGAGGGCACTGCCACCTTTGAATAATACTTGTGATTCAGAAAGATCCCCTGGAGAAGGGAATGGCAGCCTACTCCAGTATTCTTGCCTGGAGAATCCTATGGACAGAGGAGCCTAGTGGGCTACAGACCATGGGGTTGCAAAGAGTTGGACATGACTGAGTGACTAGCACTTTCACACTCGGGGGAAATAGTGGGGATTTTGCGTCAAACCAGCTTTTAGCACTTCCCTTGGCGTTGTTACTTTTTGTATTTGTAAAGGGAAGGCTAGCTAGCCATCAGATCCTGTTCTTACATTGAAGCCCAAGGGGTCTTTTCCAGGACCTTCCTTCAAAGCCAGGCCTTAGTCACATGAGACCTGGACCCACCAAATTCTGAATATTTTGATTCTAACACTTTCTTACAACTATCTTGATTATAATTGACTATTTTGAGGAAGTCATCATGTTACAAACTTGTAAAATTTTAATAGTAATATAAAAATTAAAAACATGAATTAAAAAAGGTTTTTAGTATTTTTTAGTGTCACAGTGAGTATGAGTATCCTGATAATGCTTCCAGAAAGAGTTGGCTGAGGGGACAAAACTGAAAAGCCATAAGAAAAAATAAGGACAAACTGGCTGAGTCAAAAAAAAAAGATCTGTAGATCAAAAATCGGTATAAGCAAAGTTAAGATATAGCTGACAGGAGGGAGAAATATTTTTAATTCATATCACAGATAAGGGCTAATTTCAATATATAAAGAACTCTCATAAACCAATAAGAAAAACATCCACAACTCAGTGGAACAGACAAGGGATATGAACAAACACCTTTTAGAAGAGACATACAAATAACTTTAAAGCATATGAAAGTATAATCAGGCTTTCTTATATTTAGAGAAATGCAAATTAAAAGGGCTCAAATTCAATTTTCACTTGTCAGGTTGGCAAAATCCATAAGCTGGATAACAGATAGTGATGGCTGAGGTTTGGGAAGCAGGCATGCTCATAGTTTACTGGTGTGAGTTTAAATTGTTGCAGCCTTTGTGGCAGACAGCTTGGTAGGATCAACTATAAAACTGTATAGTATACTTTAGCCTGTGCTCCTCTTCTAACATTTTATCCTATTGATGTACTCAGTACAGTTGAAATGATGTGTTTATCATAGCTTATTCATCACAGCATTGTTTGAAATGACAGAAGATTAGAAATGATCCAGATTTCCATCATTAAAGAATTGATTAATATATGCTGCATCTACACAATGCAGCTGTAAAAAAGAACAATGAAGTTCTTTAGGTATTTGTGTGAAAAGCTCACTAAGGTTTGTTGGTATGTGAAACTCTATAAGTAGTAGAGTATCATTCATGTAAAAATGGGAAGGAAAAGTGAAAGTGTGTGTTCTCATATGGATATATATTTCTTTGGAAGGATATATAAGAAACTGATAATGTTGGTTTACTGGTGGGAAGTAAACTGACTGAACTGTGCAGCAGGAGTAGAAGAACTTTTTAAAATTAAAAAATTAAAATTTGAACTATGTTCGAGAGGATATTTATATCATGTAAGCTTTATACATATCAATAAAATGAACACCTGTGAACTGGATACCAAACTAGAACATTATCACTGGTTTGTGTGTGTGTGTGTAATGCATGCCCAGAATGCATGATCTTAGTTCCCCAACTGGGGATTGAACTCAGGCCCCTACAGTGAAAGTGCTGAGTCCTAACCACTAGACCACCAGGGAATTCCCCCATTATCACTGTTATGAAGCTCTGTGTTTGCCTCTTCCTGGTCCCATCTTCCTTCTTCTCCACTCTTTTCCTTCATTATCTCTTTTTTTGTGTGCATATCTGCATCTTTCTTTTCCAAAGCTTCTGTAACTTTCTGTAAACGTTTTCTCCGTTTTTCCTCTTTCTAGCTGTCTTCATACACTCATGCTTCCAACCATAGTTGCCCTTGCATCTTTGTCCACACTGGTTCCTGGCGTCTGTGTCCCCACTACAGGAGCCACTGGATCTCAGAGCAGAGAAGGAGGGGAGCCTTGTGGATGGGAAGTCGCAGGAGAAGGAGCCTCCTCCTTCTCCCAAGCTCATCCACCCCAATGATGTCCTCAAGATTCTGGAGGCCTTTGTCATGGGTCTGAGGAAGCCCAGGTAGGCTGTGGTGCTGGAGGGCTTACCTGAGAAGTGGGGGGTGGGGGTAGCTGGATGGGATGGGAGCCAAGTGGATACTGGGAGGGGAGAAGAGGCTGCTGAGCTAGAACTTGGGGAAGTAAGTAGAGGATGTACGGAAGGAGGGCGAGAGGAATCCATGGACATTGCAATGAAAAAAATAGATACAGAAGCGATTTCCATGTTTTCATTCATCATTCATTTATTTAACGAACATGTTGGGGGCTGCTGTGTATAGGCCCTGTGGGGAGAATACTTTGTGATCAGAATAGTGGTCAAAGCACATGGAGGTGTCAGGCTACTCAGAGGGGAAGTGGTCGCCTTCATCTGAGATATCAGAGAGGGTTTTAGGGGGAGATGGCCACAGAACTAGGTTTTCCTTGGTGGACATTGTTGGGGGGACAGGCTTTTCAGGATGTCACAGTGCAGGGAAAGACCTGCTTCAAGAATCATGACAGAGTGGTATGACTGGAGTGTCAAGGGTCTGGGGAATGAGACCAGCTTGGGTAGAGGAGCCAGGCTGGATCTTGAGAGCCTTATCCAAATTCCCCAAGGTCTTGGTCTTTACCCTTTGGTGGATCGGAGCCAGAAAGTGATCTTAAGCCATGAGGGAGCCAGGAGCAGACTTGCATTTTAGAAAGATGACTTTGGTGGCCGACTGATGCCTGATTCAGGGGCTGTAGTGGGACGGTTTGTCCAGGTGGGAGGGGATAGCTTGGACGAAGGCTATCCTGGGGGTGTGTGGAGAGGAGATAACAGGTTTTAAGAGCTGCTTTGGCTGTATCTGTGGAAGAAATGGACATAGTAGTGAGCTATAAAGCCAGTGAGGTAAACTGATCGAGAGAAAGGGGGTGGATGACACTCCTTCATAACGGAGACAACAGCACCGAGGATCAGGAAACTTGATGGATAAGCAGGTGTTGTTTCTGAGGCTCTTCCATGATCGGATGAAGGTGACAGTAAGTCTGTGAGGGGCACTGCTTGGGGGCCCTGGTGACATCAGGTTGAGGGGAATGGTACCAGTGCTTTTGACCTTCAGGGACTCTTGGGTGCCAGTGAAGTTGCTGAAGGTTGTGCGAGACGACTCGAAGGACTCCGAGTACTGGAAGGCCCTGACCACGGTTATCCCTGCCACCACTGAGAACCTCTGGGATGCTCTGTATACAGCCTTGGAGAAATACCAGTGAGTGTGCATGCCATGGCTCAGGAGGAGGGCAGGCAGGGCATGCCCAGGGCAGGCAGGTAGGAGAAGCACTCTGCTTGGAGCGGCCACCTTTGCTGCCTCCCTGTCCCAGGAACTCTTGGAGAGTAAAACTGCTTTTGGCAACTCAGGTGGGGGGCCATGTAGTGTTGGGGGATCGAACCCTCCGGCTTTGCCCTCCTTGTTTTGTTCCGGGTGGCTTGGCTCCTTCAGGCCTGGAGGGCTGCCCTGGTGGGCGAGGCTTCTGGGGTCCTCATTCATCTCCAACCAGAATAGAAGAGCAGAGATCCTGGCTCCTACTTGATCGAGAATGGAGGAGGATTCAATGGGCCTCTTATCAATTTTTCTGCCCAAAGCCTCGTCCTGACCCAGAGGGCTGAGCTGCTGATAGAAAACCGTTCTCTGGAACGGCAGAACACAGAGCTCCAGCAGTTGCTGCAGCAGTATCTCGACACCAAGGTGGGTCCTGGGAGGGGAGGCAGGACACTGGGGTGCCGGGGTGGGGGGCGGCAGCAGGACTGGCGGAGATGCTGGAGGAAGTGAGGCATCCCCTCTCCACCACCTCCAGAGGCAAGGGAACTTTGAAATGTGGGCTGTCATAGTGTCACTTTGACACCCATATAGTTTTTGGCACCAGATGTTTGTTGGATGGCTCTGCAAGGCAAGAATCAAACCAGCGCTGGCCTCACAGCGTACAGAGCCCTTCCACAGGAATTTTCTTCTTTGGTCTTAACAGCTGGTCTGTGAGGTGGACAGGGCAGGAGTGATTCTCCCGCTTTCACAAAAAGGAGGATCAAACCACAGAGCCTCTGTCACTTGCCCAGAGCTTGGGCTCTTCCCGCTCTGCCAGCCCCGGGGGTCTGGCCTGGGATGTGACACCAGGAAAGGGGGCTCCAACTGAGGCAGATGTTCCCCCCGGCCCCCTACACAGACCTGCTGCAGGGACAGCTGGGGTGACTTCCCTGTGTCCTAGCAGGAGGCGGATCTCACGGTCTGCTCCACTGGAAAGAGCCCATTGGCAGTGCAGCCGCTGGCTCTGCTCTGCTCCTGTGGTATCCTTCACGTGGCACTTAAGGGTGAAACATGGGGCTGGGCGTATCTCCTGAGTCATCAACTGAGGCCAGCCACATGCCAGGCCCTGGGGATGTGTGGCCTGTGGGGGCCTCAGGCCCCTGGCCACACCTGAGCAGGGCATGCAATGAGCCTGGGGGTCACGATGGCCTCTTGGGCCAAGACAGGACTCAGGCATTTGGGAACCATAGGGGGCCACCCTTCCTTCGATGCTACAGTGGATAAATGGCTGGGGAAGAGCATGGAAGAACGAGGCCAAATGGGCAGGTGAAGCGGGGGAGGTTAGGGTTCTAGAAAATGGATCAGAGGGGAAGGTTAAGAGCATTACCAGAGGCTGGTGTGCTGGAGCAGAAGTCAGGCAAGGAGCCCAGGGCTCGGCTTCTGAAGAAGGCATGGTGCGTGCAGGCTGGCCCAGGAGACAGAAGGATGTCTTTGGGGAAGAAGTGCTCCTAGAGACTTGGGGCAGGTGTTGGCAGGTGGACCCTGGGGGAAGGGTAATGACCATTACTCTCTCTTTTCCAGATAAACTCTGAACTGCAAGTTCCTCCGACTCAGGTGTTCCGGGTCCCCACAAGATAGAGCCAGACCTCGAAAAGCCTGTTGCAGTAGGGCTGACAGTGGTATCGCTATTGGTGTGGGAGGCAGTACCCCCTGGGGGCTTCCTGGGGGCCCACTCCCTGTGTTTTCCAGACCTGTTGTTGTCGGACCTGTTGAAATAAGGCGCTGAGAGGAGTTACTTGGATTCAACAGTCCCGATTAAAGTCTTAAAAAAGTTGTGTCTGAATCGCTTTAAAGAGCAATCCCCACCTGACACCTCTGTGTCATGAGGGGACTTTGTCCCTGGCTTCAGACTGGTTTGAGAACAGGCGCGCAGCTGCAGGCCGAGACTGTGGCTCAGGTCTCCCTTCTTGCTTCTGGGAACAGGTGGTGCCTGGGATCTCTGGGCCATTTCTGGGTCTATGCCTTTGGACTGTCACTAAGAGTGCTTTAGTGAGCTTTTGGGGCCCCTGGGTCCACCAGGTTGTGCCCCTGGGCTGAGGTGTGACATTCCTCCCAGGGCAGCCTGGGCAGGCAGCCCTGTACCGCAGGCCCCCTTTGAACCCTGGGTCACAAGGTGCCCCCTCCAAAGGGGCCCAGCCTGTGCTGAGCTTGCCAGCCGACCCTGTGCATCCCTCCCCCACAGTCCCCCCACCTGACCCACTGCAGACTTCTCAGCTCAGGATTTGATTTCTTTTATTAAGAGAAAAATCACCACTCAAGAGAGGAAAAACAGCCAAGAGAAACTCAGCTCACACAGGCGGCGGTTGGGGCTGGGTGGGCAGCCCTTCAAGTGCAAACTCCAGGCAGCCCCCGGGGGACTGGAAGCTCAAGCTCAGCAGGGGCCAGGCAGGTGGGTGGGGTACAGGGTTCACTGCCGGCGTGCTGGCTTGCCAGGGCTAGTCCGGGCAGAGGAAGCACTGGGAGGCCATCAGAACCTGCAGGCTGGGCGGGGACTGGGCTTGTGCACCCAGACAGCGGCTGCCTGGATAGAGTGGAGTGGCCCGGGGAAGCAGCCACCTGGCAGGATTCCTGGAAGGGATCTGGGATCACTTCTGCAAGATCAAGATGGCGGCTGCTCTTGCAAGATTATGTCTGGGGAGGGGGAGGGTAATGCTGCTTGCTCATTGATTCTTTTTAAAGCCCTGGGCGCGGTCCATGACAGGATTCTCTTGATTCTCCATTAATTTCATTAAAGCTTTAGCGCTCTGCTGGAAGGCCTGGGGAGGATTTCTGGTGGCTTCCTCTGGCAGGTGGGGCAGGCTCTGGCGCTTTCCCACGCTCCCTACCCTGCAGGTAGGGACGAGATGGGCAGGATGGGGCCAGCAGTAGGCTTGGGGTGGGGCAGACAGGCAGGGTTGCGGGCGGCGGGGGGAGGGGGGGTTGCATCACCAGCCCTTCCCAGGAGGAAGGTCCCTGGGACTGAAGGCCTCTGTGCCAGAGGCGGGGCAAATGCACAGGCCCAGGAGGGGAGCTGTAGGGAGGGCCCCCAGGGCCTTCATGCCCCCAAGAGCTTCTTGACCATGTAGCCTGGGAGGCTGTAGAGGAAGAGCGCCAGCATGAGCAGTCCCAGCAGCGCCAACACGATCTTGATGATGAGCCACTTGTACCGCGTGCAGATGAGGTACTTGATGGACTTGAGGGGGTTGAGGAACCAGACGAAGGCGGTGTCGGGCCGGCTAGTGGGGGAAAGCCTCGGTCAGGGGAGTGGCACCTCCAAGACACCCCGTCCCCGCAGCCCCTCTAGACCCCAAGAGGGGGTCCCTTCACGGTCCCGGTTCTCCCCAGAGTACTGAGTGCTGGAGGCAGGGTTTGAGCCCATCTCTTAGCTCCAGCTGTGGTGTTGGAGAAGACTCTTGAGAGTCCCTTGAACAGCTAGGAGATCCAACCAGTCCATCCTAAAGGAAATCAGCCCTGAATATTCGTTGGAAGGACTGATGCTGAAGCTGAAACTCCAGTACTTTGGCCACCTGATATGAAGAAGTGACTCATTGGAAAAGACCCTGATGCTGGGAAAGATTTAAGGAGGGAGAAGAAGGGATGACAGAGGATGAGATGGCTGGATGGCATCACCGACTCAATGGATATGAGTTTGAGTAAATTCCGGGAGTTGGTGATGGACAGGGAGGCCTGGCGTGCTGCAGTCTGTGGGATGACTAAGAGTTGGACACGACTGAGTGACTGAACTGAACTGAACTTAGCTCCAGCAAATTCTGCCTGCATTCCCCGTTCTCTTTGCAGAGAACAGCAGTTGTCCCAGCTGCTCCTGAGGCCTAGACGACATTTTTGGCAGCTGGGCAGCTACCCCTCGACCCAACACTTGCAGTGAGGGCAGATCAGTGCTGGAGAAGGCTGTTGCAGGCAGTTCTGGTTATTACAATAGGAAGCTCCCCTACTGAGCTGTTCATTGTGGATGGTCTAATACTTGCTGTGTGTTCACAGTGAGGTTTGTGTTTCCAGCCTCTTCCCCCTTTAGGCTTCTGTGCCCACCAGGCCCTACCAGGGGTCTGAGGATCCCCAGGGTGGGGTACATGCCACCCTCACCTCTGACCTGCCCACCATCAGGGCTGGATCACTACTATACCTTCTTCAGGGCCACCTAGCCAAAAAAAGGCTTGTTGAGCTTACATTCTGTTGACTGTGTGACAAGAACAATAGATTCTATAAAATGTCCAGATAGAAAATCAAAGTACTGAACATGCTTCTTTAAACTCTTCCTGCTCCTGGGGGACATAGACCGCACCCTCCAGAGCCAATCAGTGCAGGCAGGGCTGCAGGCCGGGGGTTGTGGGCAAGGGCACCTAGTTTCCAGTCCCAGTGGTGACAGGCAAGTGAGGCATGTCTTAGAGCCTTGGATTCCTCACTTGTACCATGGGGTTAATAGCAGACCCCACCTCCGGGGTTGGTGAAAGGGTGATGTGAGAAGGTGCATGAGAAATTTTGGCACCAAGCCGAGCTCCCCGTAGGCCGGTTACCAAGACCGAATGCTGTGGAGCTACTCACTGCCATGCAGGGCAGGAAAGGGCTCGGGTTGGGAGGAGGATGCTGGTAGAATCTATTCAGGGCTGGATGGCTGATCCCAGTCAAAGCTTTCCCCTTTCCTGTCCATAACTCAGCTGCTTTCTGCCAGTAGCACTGGGTTCGATTCTGACCAGAATGTCACTGGAAGAAGAGGTGGTATTGTGCAAAGGACACTGGATGGACCATTTGAAAACCAAGGCTGAGTCCTAGCTCTGCCCTGATTTACTAGGCGGTGACCTTGGACAAGTTCCTTTTCCTCTCCGGCCTCATGTGTAAACGTGCAAGACAGTCATTTGCAGTTCTGAGTCTAGGATACCACTTGAAAGCTTAAAAGTTGCTGTCTGCGCTGTCCTTGTGTGTGCACTCCTGTGTGCGTGTGCGTGTGTGTGTGTGTGTGTGTGTGTATGTGTGCACATGCGTGCCACATGCTGGCCAGCTCATAGCCCTAGGTCCAGGAGGAAGGGAGGGTATGAGACCCAGGAGGCTTTGGGCTCAGTCCCCAAGGATCTCCTTGACCAGGTAGCCAGGCAGAGTAGAGGAAAAGGGCAAGGAGGAGAAGCAGCCAGTGATACATGCATCACACGAAGTAGTGGGCAGACTTGAGAGGGTTCAAGAACCAGATGAAGCTTGTGTCGGGTTGGTTAGAGCAGCGACAGGAGCAGAGGGGGCACCGAGGAAGGACACAGAGGATGAGGGCCGGGGTGTGGCGAGGGTCCCTGGCCAAGATGAAGGTGACTCTCAGCTGAGTATACAGCTCCAGGTACCCCCCTCCCCCAGCCATCAAGGCTGCCTGGGGCCCCAAAGCCCACCACTGCAGCTGTTTGCCTTTGTCAAAAACTGTGTGCTTAGTCACTCAGTCATGTCTGACTCTTTGCGACCTTAAGGACTGTAGCCTGCGAGGCCCCTTTGTCTATGGGGATTCTCCAGGCAAGAATACTGGAGTGGGTTGCCACTCCCTCCTCCAGGGGATCTTCTGAACCCAGGGATGGAACCTAGGTTTCCTGCATTGCGGGCAGATTCTTTACCCTCTGAGCCACCAGGGAAGCCAAGAATATTGGAGTGGATAGCCTATCCCTTGTCTAGGGGAACTTCCCAACCTAGATATCGAATCAGAGTCTTCTGCATTGCAGGCGGATTCTTTACCAGTTGAGCTACCCGGGAAGGGCCTGTCAAAAAGTAGGAAGAGCATTCAACTCAGCTCAGTAGGGCCTTCCCTGTACTATAGCCCGTGTTCTGGCCTCAGAGGGAGGAGGTGGATCCTGGGGGGAAAAGGAGGAGGGAGGAGGCTCTCCTGCAATGAGGCTGTGGCCCAGGAAGGGTCAGAGAGGGCAGAGGTGCCCACAGAGTGGGGGCAAGAAGACCAGAGGTTCTGGCACCTCCTTCCTGTTCCTGTGCCCCAGGGACCAAAGTGGCAGGGTACTGGCGCGCAGGGCACTCACTTGGGTTTCTCTAGGGGATCAGGTTCATTGCGGGCCAGGCCCACAGGATTCTTTTCCGCCTCCTCGGCAGTGAGTAGATGCAACTCCGCTTCCACTTTGCCCTACAGAGAGGAACAGCATGGTGCCGGCGCCCGGGAAAGGTGCCAGGCCCTCCCCTGCCCCCTGCCCAGCAGTGGTGAGGCCCACCGTGAGCTCAAACTCGTCATTCTCGTTGCGGGCTAGGAGGGGCCACCAGCCTTTGACGCGCTTCTGCTTGAAGATGGAAACCAGAGGCACATCCACCTCCCCCGTGGCCATCTCCATGGTGCACTGCTTGGCCGTTTTCGCGCCTCGAGGGAAGCGATTCAGGTCCAGCTCGATGGCCCCTGTGACAACCTGAGAGTCAGCTCCTACACTGGGTCCGATTGACACTGGGTCTCCCCACCTGGGCTGGGCTCACCCTGCCCCTGCCTCCCCCTCCCCCGCCCCCACTGGAGCATCACCTGCTCCAGACCTGCAACCACACCCGGGGTGGGGGCTCTCTCCACCCACAGCACTGCCACCCCCCCCCATCCACTTCCTCCTCTCCTGCCTTCCAGAAAG